TTGCCCTGTTAGGTGCCTCCATTAACGGGCTTGGGTCTGACTAGCATGGCCACCTCTGCTTCCTTAACCTCGATGTATCGATGGTTCTGGCTGTGTGATGGGCTTTGTGTCTCACTGGCGCGACCACCGTTGCGGTGGTTCTCTTGCGTGGACACGCTTGTCTCACAGTGCAGTTGGCAGTGCCGCGGCTTGTGTTACACATAGATTTGACATTAACTTACTAATCCCCCTAATCTCCCTGCCTAATCTTTCCCATCAACATAGTGCTAATCTCTCATTAACACTGCTGTTGTGCACATATGCGGGGATGATACTCTTACACAGCGACAGACGTTAATTTAATGCTAATCAATCTACCTAATCTCTCCCTAATCTCCCCCATTAACACAACTGACGTGCTTGTGTCCGGGGATGGAATTCCATTCAAGCTGAGACCCCGCTTGCTTGCCCATCGCCACATATATAGCCTTGTTGTAGCTGCTCTCTCGCTGGTTCAGCAGTTCCACTGCTGGATTGTTTTTTCCACCTGAGGATGACCGCTTGTGTTGTGATCGAAACGTCGTGGTATGTTATTTTTGGGTTTATTTTATTTTTGTACCTACGTGACTTTACCAAAAGAACCAAAGAGGATAGAGGAGATGAGGAAGAAGAAGAAGATGATGATGAAGATGCCACTGAGATCTTTCATTTCCCCCTCACTTCAATCACCGTCTCTCATCCAAATCACACTCTCTAATTCACACTCTTGCGTGCTCTGCCATCCCTTTATAATCCACTGCTGGATGAAACATTTACCCTCCCCCCTTCCACCCTAATGAGGATGGAAGTTGGACCATACCTCACCATGCAGGTCAGTGTGGATTGGTGAACGAGGGGACCCGGAACCGGTTAAGATAGGGCCCAATGCTGATATTGGCCGTGGGCAGGAATCAAACTCGTGTTTGTGTAGTGCAGTGTGTTAACCACTGCGTCACCGGCCCACCCAAAGCCATCTGACTTCCTAACGAGTCTGGCTGTTTAGGCATTCATCCTCGTGGCTGGGCGATGCAACATTGCATGTGCACTCACTGTTGACCGGGTTGATACCTGAGACCATCAACTCTCTCCACTTGAGAACCCAATTTGAGATGCATGGAGATGAGTGGAGCGAGATGAGTGGAATGGTATGAGGAGTGGAGTGAGATGAGTGGAATGAGATGAGAAACGGGGTGAGATGAGTGGAGTAAGATGAGTGTAATGAGATGAGGAATGTGGTGAGATGATTGGAGTAAGATGAGTGGAATGAGAAGAGGAGTGGAGTGAGATAAGGAGTGGAGTAAGATGAGTGAAATGTGATGAGGAATGTGGTGGGATGAGTGGAGTGAGATGAGTGGAATGAGATGAGTGGAGCGAGCAGGGTGAAATGTGCAGTGCATTGGCAGCCTCACTGATCCGGCTCGTAGTCTCAGCCGTCTCGTTTCAGCCAATGGAGGAAGAAAAAAAACCCCAATACAAACAAACCGAGTGGCTTCGTCACTGTCTGAGAATCTTAAGAGGAGAGCAAAACGAGGCCGCACTGGAAGCAGCCGCAGCAACAGCCATGCTGCGTAAAGAGCGTTGGGCAGGCAGGGGGTGCCTTGGCCCCGGCTGGTGGCTCTCGCTACGAGTTGGGGCCCCCTTTGACAGCCACCATGAGATATGTCTTCAACAACAGTGTAAAAGAACAAAACGCTTATTTAAAACGCGGTTTATTTTTGTGATGAAAATGCTTTCATTGTCGTTCCATGTTTTATTTTAATTTAATTAGAGCATTAACATAACATTGCAAAGAGGTACTAAGGAGCTGTCGTGACTGCATTTTGCGAAGACGGAGCACCCCTACAGCGTTAAATGTCCAAGACCGTGAGCGTAACGACCTCATTAGGACCGTGCGAGATAATTAAATATTGGGGGGCCCCGCCTGACCGATTGCCGCACCCCCTGAGGTGATGATGTAGCTACTACGCCACTGGTGCTGTGGTTGTGGGGGCCGACGTCCACCCAACCTGCCCTCTCTGGGCAGGTGGGGCGCGACGTCCGCCCCTTCCACTCCCTCCTCCACCGCATCGATCGGCTCCCACGGGACCCCCGCCGACCGGGTGATCGGCCCCCCCGTGCTAGCGCCCTCTCTGAGGGGCACAGCTACACTGCTGGCTCACCGCGGCATGGAGTTAACCCACACTCGCCCGTGTACACCACAGCCAACGCTAACGCAGGGCTGCGACCGCGTTCGCACCTGCGGGCGATTATCTCCCAGCACGCGCGCACGCTGCGGCTCCGCATTCACTCTCCCGCGCACACCACCACTCACGCGGACGCGGCGGACAGCGGCACGCTAGCGCCTGCACTTGCGAGCGATTATCTCAACGAGCGTCCGTGCACACCGCAGCTATTGTTAATGCAGTCCGCAGCGGCACACTGGCACCCACACTTGTGAGCGATTATCTCAACGCGCGCTCACGCAGCCGCTCCACACAGGAATCACAGACACCACACCGATGCTTTGTGCTAACTTTTATTCGCGGCGCAAATACACACTCCTTGGGGGAATATTTCGTGTGAAGAGCCTAGCCTACCGCTGCCTAAGTGCTCAGTCACTCACACGTCCTATCACGTACCTCTAAGCTCGTCCTTCGGAGGGATAAGGACGAGAGAAAACTTTACCTATCACTGCCTCGTAACAGCACTCGCTGGCATCACACTGATGCTGCGAGCGGCTTGAGGAGGCAGGACGGCAGGGAGCGGGTCTTGGCGGCCCAGAGTCCGAAAATGGCCCCAGCTACTCTTTTTATTCCCTTAACTTCAAAGGCTCGGGGTGACGTCGTACCGCGCAGCCAATCGTGCGCTTACCTGCGCCGTCCTCATGTTACCGTGTCCTCCGTCGAATGCCATGTTGGCGGCGCCGATCACCTATTGTCTCTCGTTGCCCGTTGTCTGGAAGAGCATCTGGCTGGTGAACACACACCCTGCGAGTGTGTATTCGGTATGGGGGCCGAGATGGGGGCGGCAGTGGCGCTGCGATTCTCCTGACCTCATGCTCTCCTTGCTTAATATTCCACCCTCAGTCTTCCCCCCAATGTCGTAAATAACTTATTGTGGTTGGCCCAGTGAACCTTTTCTTTCTGCGCCCAGACAATTTTAAGCCAATTTATGGGCACCGCAATGTGACCTGTCCTGCGAGGATCGACCAATTTCCTGGCACCGGGAAACCATGGGACTTTCCTTCTAGGGACCCTTCGGATGAAAACCCGTTGCGCCAGGCGATGCCCCGCCAGGACACTACGTGCGTGCGCTGCATGTGGGTGCTCAATGTGTGTGCTCAGCGTGAGGCCAGGGGGAGTCGCGGCACTGGCAGAGTGGCACCACATGGTCACTACGCCACTGATAATGTCGTCACTACGCCACTGACCCCCTACGTCTCTACTCTCGCCGCGCTCCAAGCCTCGCGCGGCCACCCGTCCGCAACTCTGCGGGGAGACGCTGCCGCCCGCGTTGCATGAGATCACGAGGGACCTGACCCCCCAGAGTGTGACTGTGGCCGCAGGCTCCCAGACAGCGGAGCGTGTACCACAATCAACCCGCACACTGAGGTCTGTTGCGCGAGGCGATTCAATCCTCCACTCAGCATCTTAGGAAGCCACTGAGCAGATTTCCAAACGAGATGCATCCCGTTGGGACGATTGCTCCGTCGCACGAAACGAATGAAGCCGTTGCGTCATTTGGCAACCAGTTCAGTCACCAGTCTCTTGTACGATCGCTGCCTCTCCAGGCGGTCGCGTCATCAGTACCCACCAGTCGTGCGTATGTATTTGTGTTTGACACAGTAGGGGGCACAGGTGGTGCATTGGCAAGTGATCTCAGTCAGTCGACCCGTGGCACCTGGGTCTGCCTCATGAACTCCTGCCAGCGGGTGTTTGATAATTCACGTGGCCTAAACGTGCACATAGCCTGGCACAAGCGCCATGGTGACGTCCCGCCACTTTGTGGTGAATGTCGGTTGTTGTGTGTTTGTTTATTTGTTTTTGCTCTTCGGCGGGTAAACGCTTTCCTGGGCGTCTCCGTGTTCGTGCCATTGTAAAGGTCGCACTCGCAGTGCCTTGGCTCGTAACGAGCAGGTAGTCTGTCTGAGGCTGTGTCGGCGATTACTGTCTAAGGAGGTTAGGGGGAGTCGGACCGGTTCGTGACGCAGTGGACGTGCCCACCGGGCCCAACAAAAGTCGAATGGAGCATCGAGGCATCGGTGTCCCACCTCCCGTTCACAGCCCTGAACCGGTGGTGGGAATTTCGCGCCGCGTGCCCTCGGTGGTGCGCATCGACGCTGGACGTCGTCTGTCGCTCCACGCCGTGCACGGTCTTCACTGCCGGCTCTCTGGATTATGCGAGCGCCATTCTGGGGGTTTCTGGGTCGCCGCCGTCGACTATGTCACGAACAATTCACCTCCCTGCCCGAGAAACTCGTGGACTGCGCATTTTTGTGTGTGGCCGACAGCTGGCAATGCGGGATTGGCGCGGCGCTCTTGCGGGGAAACTTTGTACCCCCCCCCCCCGCCCAACCCGGGATGCGTTCAGCGGTCCTGGTTTTGCGTGTGAAATCCTTTCATGGCGATACGCTTGAAAACTTTCGTGCACTCGCAGGGAAAGAGCGCGGTCGAGCAGAACGCGTCGTCACGATGGTGGTCGAGACTTGACCACGGAGTGGCAGAGCCGCTATTCACCGCGGGAGCGACGGGACAATTGAATCAAATCTGTGCAGGGACGATCGTTTCAATCGTGTGGACCAATCTTTTATATTGGCCACTGCTCGATAACCGATCGTATCAATAGTGTGGGCCAGGCATGATATCGGCCACTGCTAGATAACCGATCTTATCACCGGATTGTAAGACGCACCCCCGACTTTTGCTTTAAAACAGGGACAAGCCTGCTGCCATTCCGTGCGACTCTTCCTTCAATGCCTGCTCTGCTCACCTTTGTGCCCGCAGGACACACAAGATGTACTACCAGTGAGCCAGCCGGCTGGGGCGGGTGCTCACGAATGAACGACGGCTCGGGGCTCGCTCGGCCCCTCGCTGTCGGTAGAGAGGAGATACGACGGGGCACACGGCCGGAGAGTTAACAAAATGTACCCTCCGTGACAATGGAACGGACCACAACTCCGCAAGGTGTCCCGAGTCCCGTGTTGAGCACCGACGCGAGCTCGCTTGGCGTTGGGTCGAACCATTATGTCTGTAGGGGTATTTTATTTGCGTTGCTGGAAGTAGCTAACAATCGCCTTTTACACTTTCCTTACTCCGGGCTTCGTTGTCCCCTCCACAAAATCGTTCTTTGTGTGTTTTTAATGTTTTTGATATATGCACACGTAATGTAAACACATTGTATTGCTTTGTATGCAGTATATATTTAAACTGTCTGTGTGGGTCTATTCATTATTCATATTTGCTGCATTATTTAAGAATCGCATCGGCCGAGTGTTGTGCGCGCAGAGCCTTCGCCCGGCCGAGGGGGTGCGGGCCCGATCTGACAACAGGTCATTGTGTGTGTTCGCATCAATTGGCTTGCACACAGAATGCTCAAAACGTCATTTAAACAGAGGAACGATTTCCTCTGCGCATCAATACTGCCGGGGTTTGTTTGTGGCGATTAAGTCAAATTAATTATACACACACACACTGTCACACACATAGATTAGCAACACGCCGATACGCACGCACACACTGACACAAAAGCAGAAAAAAATACACACACACATAGATGCACAAACACGGACACAGATAAGAGAAAGATCCCCCGTATAGCCTTAACATAATGTTGGGGCAAGTGCTGTTATGGAGCACCTACGAAGATCAGCACGGCACTAAACTACGACACTTATTATTTTACCAAGTAAAGCCCACTGAGCTATCTAGCTCTTTTTCAGAAGCGACCTGGCCACAAATAATATAATTCACTGGTCTACAAATGTTTAGACGTCGTCTGCTTCAGAGATGAAATATGCTGTTTATTATGGATGTTGATGTGCTGTATTCAAATATGACAATTAAAACAACTGATTGGCTCTGTTCACAGGATATTTAAGTTTTTACATTTTACGTCTTGTATATTGTGTAGATAGTGTTTTACTCATAAATTGTAAACCTTTTCACGTGTTTATGGTTGCTTTACATGATAACGTGTCACCTGTCCTGTTCATGTAACACTTTAAAATCAGCAAAAGGGTTATAAATAAAATGTATTATGAAACAAAAGGCAAAATACTATTATGTATATATAAATACATAGTTAAGTCCTTATTCAGTGTCTACTCGGCGTTTCTTGGCTTGTCTCTTGTATTCATTACATGGAGCATCTCTTGTCACTGTCCAGCAATAGTCTGCAAGCATTGATGGGCTCCATTTGCCCTGATAGCGTTTCTCCATTGTTGCAATGCCCCGGTGAAATCGCTCGTCATACTCGTCGCTCACTGCTCTGCAGTTTGGTGGGAAAAATCTAGATGAGATTGTAAAAAATGTATCTTTGGTGACATGTTGCAACCAAAGGCTTTTGTATGCCTTGAGGAGGTTTTCCTCCAACTCCCTGTAGTCTTCTTTGTTGTTTGCGATAAAATGTGTTGACAGTTAACTGGAAGACTTTCCATGCCGTCTTTTCCTTGCCATAAGTGCACTGTAAAATGCATAATTTCGAAGAAGAACACGAATCTGAGGACCAACAAAGACACCTTCCTTCATCTTAGCTTCACTTAACCTTGGAAATTTTCCACGGAGGTACTTGAACGCTGCTTGTGGTTTGTCCATGGCTTTGATAAAGTTCTTCATCAGACCCAGCTTGATGTGTAAGGGTGGTAACAGAATCTTCCTTGATTCAAGAAGTGGTGGATGCTGAACATTTTTCCTCCCAGGCTCCAATGACTGTCGGAGTGGCCAATCTGTCTTGATGTAGTGGGAATCTCTCGCGCGACTTCCATTCGCAGAGAAAACATCAGTACTAGATTTGAAGCTTTCGTGTCTGCAAGAATCCATACTCTTTGGTTCTATTCGGTAAAGTCACGTAGGTAAAAAAAAATAAAACAACAAAAATCACGACGTTTCGGCCACAAAACAAGCGGCCTTCATCAGGTGATGAAGGTCGCATCACCTGATGAAGGCCGCGAGAGATTCCCACTACATACAAAACAAGCGGCCTTCATCAGGTGATGAAGGTCGCATCACCTGATGAAGGCCGCTTGTTTTGTGGCCGAAACGTGATTTTTGTTGTTTTATTTTTTTACCTACGTGACTTTACCGAATAGAACCAAAGAGTATAAAACATCAGTACTTTGTGTATCCAGTCTGCAGACCAAGCAAGAGAGCAACAATCTTCAAATCGCCACAAAGCTGCCACTTGATGTTGGTCATAGTTTATGCACCTCAAAAGTTGTTTCATGTTGTCATAGGTTTCCGTCATATGGACTGCATGACCAACTGGAATTGATAGCAAAACATTGCCATTATGCAGCAAAACAGCTTTAAGACTCATCTTCGATGAAGCAATGAACAGTCTCCACTCATCTGGATCATGAACGATGTTGAGGGCTGCCATCACACCATCGATGTTGTTGCAGGCTACAAGATCACCTTCCATTAAGAAGAATGGGACAAGATCCTTTCGACAGTCATTGCTGCAGTCTGGAGCCCAACAGCTCTGCCTTACTTTTAGGTAGTTCCAAATCCCTGACAAGGTCTTTCAGTTCACCTTGTGTTATGAGGTGTGGTTCAGAGGAGGAGGATGGGAGAAAATCTGGGTCATGTGACCTTGATGGTTCAGGACCAGAAGTTGCATCCTCTTCCTCGTCTGACTCAGGTGAGTGATTCTGGTGAATCAGGAACCGGAAGTCCTCTGTGGGGTACTGGGCGTATAGCTGATGGAATGTTTGGATAATGCACAGTCCACTTTTTCTTCTTTGACACACGTTCCCCATCTGGAGGTGCCATGCAGAAGTAACAATTGCTGATATGATCTTTTGGCTCTCTCCAAATCATTGGCACTGCAAAAGGTATATATTTCATTTTCCTGTTCAACCACTGGCGAAGATGTGTTGCACAAGTGTTGCGGCATATGTGTGGGGCCCACATCTTGTCTTGATCTCCAATTTTTCAGCCAAAATAAAGGTGATAGGCGTTCTTAACCATAGTGTTATACTGCGCTTTTGTGATGAAAAAGTCACTTCACCACCAACATAGCAGAAGTTATCACCACCGCGCAAGAGGAGGTGTGTCGCTAGCACCACGCCTGGCCACCTTTGTCTCTCACGTGGCGATGTTTACACAGCGCCCCAGGTACTCATTTGAGGCTGAGTCTTCCTTGGAGAGCCTCTGGACCGGTTCACAAATTCGCCACTGGTGTTGATCATGAGCTAGAATCGAACTCGGGTCGCCCTGGGTTCGTAACGCAGCATGCTAACCGCTGCACTACCGTTCCCCAGACACGCACACTGACACAAAAATCCAAAAATACCCCTATAGCCTCAACATACTGTTGGATAAAGTGCTGTTTGCGAATACCAGTAGTGATATTTACACGCCGCACCAGGTGCTTATTTAAGGCTGAGTCGACCTAGGGGGGCCCATGCCCGGTTCAGATAATCGTCACTTGTGTGGCCATGAGTGGAAATCAAACTCGAGTCGCGGGGTTCGTAGCGTAGTGCGCGCACCACTACGCTACCGCTCCCCGCACGCTAACGCGTACACACACTGAAACACTGACACGTAAATACGCCGAATGTCCAGTTCGGCCCTGCTCGTCACCCGTGTACTGAAGGCAGGGAGCAATCTACCGGTGATATTAAAACGTTACCAGTCTCCGGGGGGATTTAGGAGGCAAAGTGCCCGCGTTTTTACTCCGCCTAGACTCTGGAGCAGGGTTCGGCTACCTGCAGCTCTGGAGCCGAATGCGGTGACTCTTTGGCTGCCCCCTTGCGGCTCTTTGGCTGCCCCCTTGTGACTCTTTGGGGCAGCCATTTTTTTTAAACCCGTAAATCTTAAACATGATTGATCGTAAAGATAATTGAGTAAATGTGTCAGGGAATGTCGTGGTAACAACAACGTGTACAACAGTAAAACTGTATTGTTAAAGAATAACTACGGGAGATTTAAAAAATAAACAGACGCAGTTTATTCCAACACATATTTTGTTTATTTAAGTCAGAATGTGTTTGTCACCTGTGTGTATACCCACTGCTGTGTTTGTGTACAATTAGCTGTGCGTGCGATGCGGCTCTCGAACTATTTTGGTCAAAGACAAAAGCAAAAAAGTGGCTCTTCTTCTTCTTTGAAAAGTTGCCGATTCTCTGCTCTGGAGAGTCACCCGATCCCAGACTCGGGGCGCAAACAATTTTTTTTACAATCATGAATTGTACTTAAGGACACGAAATCGGAAACATCACCAAGGAGATAAAACAGCGAAGACTGCAATGGCTATAGGGGCCATGTCCTAAGAATTGAACAAAACCGCGTCCCTAGCATTGCCCTGAGATGGACGCCTCCGGGCAAAATAAAACCGATGGAGGCCAAAAAGCACCTGCAGAAGAACCGTCCCTGAAGATCTTGATCAGGTGAACCTCACGTGGGGTGAGGCACGGCATGGAGCCAAAGACAAGCACAGATGGAGAGAGCTCATTGTAGCCATATATCCCATCGGGGGTGAAGAGGAGTAAGTAAGACTCGGGACATGTTTCCTCCCAGACGTAAGCCGTATTTTCACCAAATGTCATCACGAAGCTGCTCACCACATGATTATTACTATTAATAACCGCACACGGCACGGTTCAAAAACAACCCGGGTTTATAAAACTCAATCTCCCGGTTCTGAATCTGGTGTCAATTTTCACGTCGGATATGAGAATCAAACCAAACTAAAATATAACAACAGCAGCATCAACAACAAAAATAATAACCTGGCGCAGACGCTGAGACCCAATAGGAAGAAGGCACGGGTGGTTCACGATGTTTTCACGACCTCTCGGAGTGATGACCACCGCGAGACGCGCGGTTATTGCTCGCGCCCAGAGAGGGCCCGGTCCAAGCATCGAGAGAGGTCAAAGATCTCGCCCCTTGTGGCCGCCTGTCCGCTACGAGTCTGCACAGTGGCTACATAACGCTGCGCTCGGTGTTTCTGCCCAGGAGCGGTCACCTCCACGCAACTTGACCTGTTCCTTCTGCTCCCCTTGGGAAAATCGAATTAATGGCATTCCGTTTGTGCCCGGGGCCAGTCTGGCTGCGGCTGTCAGCTGTCATTTTTCTTTCTATCAGCAGCCGCTGTCCAGGGGTCACGTTGAGGCGAGGCCGCGCGCAGTCGCTGTTTCTCTGTCGGCTGTGGTAACCCCCACCTCGCCGCTCTTGGAATTGACTGAGTCGCTGCCTCTGTGCCGACGTTGACAGACCGAGACGGGGCCGCGGTCGCCTCTGCCTGGGTGGTTTGTTGGCGGCTTCCCCATTGTCTCAGAGCTGAGCTGGGTTGGCAAAACGCGAGAATTGTACAGTGGTGGCAGGCAACAGCACCTGAATAAACGTTTCTCCTGCGATTATCTTGTCTCCTTTCGTGTATAATTGATGGGTTTTGTGTTTCATCCAAGCTGCAATTTTTTTTATTGTATGTGGCCTTGTCATGCTGACTCTGCTGCGACGCGTACGAGCGCGTATGTGCGCAGACCGATCATCTAAACCGGTCCTGGGTCTCCCCTAGGTCGACTCAGCCTCAAATGTGTACTGTACCTGCTGCGGTGTGTCAACATCGTCACTGGGGAGACAAAGGTGACCGGGCGTGGTGATGACCACCCAGCCCCTCGTCTGCCATGTCGGCCTTCATTGGATGTTCGCGAACAGCACTTGCCCAAAAAGTCTGTTAAGGCCAGAGCCGTCCCTAGGACACGGCGAATCGGGGCGACTGCCCCGGGCCCCGCGGTTTTGTTTTGGGGGGGGGGGCGCGCTTCGACGTCACGGTGTTAGATGTAATACTTCCCGTTCCGCTTGAAGAGGTAGAGGGGCCCACACGGTGGCATTTGCCCCGGGCCCCGCACCCCCTATGGACGGCCTTGAGTCTAATGCCTACATGGGGAGTCGTTGTCTTTGTGGAGACCGAGGCCATGCGAAACACAACGGTATGTGTGTACATACATACAAGGTATGTGTGTATCTATGTTGAACTTCTTTCACACCGTACATAGCCTACCGTGCGAATCGGAGGTGCGGGGGAAGGACAACAAACTAAACACAAAAGGCAGTTCTAACAAAAAAAATTCAATCTAGATTTATACGTGCATTGTTCCTAATATCGGAAGGAAGAGCGTTCCAGACGGCCGCAGAAGCGCATCTCAACGCGCGCGATGCAGTGACCGTCTTTGTGCAATGGCTAGCCAAAACCGGCTGCGAGGTTGACCAGAGGTCGCGTGATGGTTTATGCTCCGAGACGAGATCGGTAAGGTCGTCCACGACACCCACGGGAAGAGATTTCACAACATCTGTGTGATCCACCAATCTTCACCTTCACAGTGCTGTTCAATCTTTCTGTAACCTATATTGTAATTGCCCTGTGATCAGTCCAAAAAATAATCTGCCCGAGCCGACTCGCGCTACGGGGAGTTAATGATTTAACATTGATTAATGTTCGTGCAATATTTTACATTTCTCATGTAATTATGACACGGTGGTTTGTGCCCTGATTTCTATTCACTGAATTGCTGCAACTTTATTTCGTTGTAATTTTGGTCACTTTGGTGACTCCAGGTCGGTCACTGCATCGCACTCAGATGCGCTTCTGTGGCCGTCTGGAACGCGCTTCCTTCTGATATTATGAAACCACTGGAACTATGCACTTTTAAATCATCTAAATATTATTGGATTTTGTGTTTAGTGTGTTGTCCTTCTCCCGCATCTCGGCTTAGCACGGTTGGCTACGTATGGTGCAAAATAAGTTCAACACACATACAGGTCACTCTTGCAAACGGTTGAAAAAATAAAACTTGACCTCAAACGTGAACTCTGAACACAGCTTTAACTCTTATCCGAGTCAAATGACAGGGGCGAGTTCGCTACAGAGCTGGAGAACCGTCTCCACCACCGAGGACCGAATAGGACTTTTAAACAACTTTTGGCGAGCAACCACACACCACAACACACACACATCTAACTTGTGGTGACGTCACCACTGCGCTTGGTGCACCTTGAAGCGATCACATGAGGTGTCGAAGGCTCACTGCTGGCAGGTTACGCAACAGACCCAGGTGTCACAAGTTGACTGACTGAGAAGACTGGCAGATGCAGCACCTGTCCTCCCCACTATATCTCCTTGCTGCGTTTTAGTCGCCCGGTGCTCTGAGCGGTTTTTTTTTTTAGCCTCGCTCCACCTTGCCCTCCGTTGTTGCCGGAGGGCGACTGCCTCCAACTGCTCAGTAGCGTCCTTCACGAGCCTCCTCCTCCTCAACAGAGGGTGATCTTCACACCGGTGATACCAACCAGTCTTCGGCAAGGCCACTCAGCTCCACATACTTCTGTACCACATCAGTTAATCTCTTATCTAGCCCATGCCGCGCCCGTTTAGCCCCCTCTAGCAAAAGCTGATTGGGCATGCGGTGGCTGAGAATGCGGGCTACGTAACCCAGCCAATGCATCCTTGCCTGCCGGAGGAGCTCACTGGAACACTCACACGGATGTTGTGACATAGCGCTGACTGTTGTACAGCAGCTGCAACTGCAGCTATACACACGCCGTTGAGGACATACACGGTTGTGTGTGTGCCGGCAGGGCGGAGAAACTGGGGCAAGGGTCACGGTAGACCTCGTGGGGAAGCCCCTGGAACCCTCTGGTGGGTTCGAGAAGGGAGGCGCGGCTAGGGCGGAGCCAAGCCGCGCCGAGGGGAATAAAAGGAGCGGAGAGCGAGAGCTCCGGGCTGCAGGTTCTGGGAGTGGACTCGTCTCGTCAACGCCCTCGTAGTCGCCGCATTCGTCGCTGCCGCCTTCGCCCGATCATTGCGTGGCTGGACAGTTGTTGGCTGTCCCGGTCGACGCCATCGGTGCAACGCGGACAGGGTCGTGTCTGGGACGGGTCGTGCTGCAGCGTGGTCGTGAGAGAGAGGAGGCCGGAGTTGGTGGCGTGCACCCGACAACAACACTAAAAGGGGAGGACGGTGCCTCCTGCGACTACCCCGACTGAGTGTGTGTGCGACGCACGCCACCCGCACGCACACACACGCCTCGAGCGAGAACGAAGAAGAGACGCACGACACTACACGTACATACATACACAAGCACACACATCTCAGTCGCTCATACCACGACAAGAGGCTGCTTTGACACTTGCAGGGCCTCATCATGACAGTAATGTCATCAGCAAATGTCTATCCACTGCTGAAGGCCTCTCGCCGACGTTGCCATCCCTCGGGGTACGCTGCTGAAACCACCATCTCACTGCGTCACGTGAATTGACCTCGCCGTGCTTGTGAATGAGACATTTGGTCTTCTGCTGCGGTTCATCGTTCGCCATGATCAGTCCACTGCTGGATGAGGCTCTCGGGTCGTCTCGACGGCCCACGCGTTCTCTCAAGGACACGAGTTTGTTGGATGGTCCTTGCCTGACCTCTGGTGGTATAAACACATTAGTGCCTGATAGGAAGGATGACAAATACAGAATATCACTTTTATTCTTTAGTTATTTGGAGGGACAGATCTGTGGAGGTGTCTGTCTGCTTATTTATGAAGTACGTGACAAATATGATGTGACCACTTTATTCCAACCACAGTTCAAACTTACTGTGTAGTACATCCCATCATCCCCAAGCCTTCCACCACCACACCCACCCGAGCACACAGGACTGCACCAACCCAATGGATTATGCGAGGTTAAATATTCCCATCAATGCAAATAAAATACAATCTCATAGGTACTCACCTGTATTACAATTCCTTCAGTAACAGGTGAAGCCGTCATGAAATCCAGTGTATGCGTTAATTGAACTCGACTTTAGCTTTGGCTATCGATTTGTTGATCATTCCCACACACGTGTTGTGAAGAAGAGCCGAGGCCCGAAACGTCACCTGTCATGTATTTCAGTTTAAGGCCACACACACATTGTTGTTGACACACACAGTGTGATTATTGGCACACAAACATAGGGTGTGGTTGACACATTGTTATGATTGATACAGGGTGTGATAATTCAGACTGCGATTAATGATAGTGTGATTATTGACACACACACTGTCATTATTCCACGTTGCCCAAGCACAACAGCCCCATCAGTGATGGGGTGGAATTGTTTTTTTATGACGCAACATTTCCCAGGCAGGCGATTCGTTTTAGTGGGAATTATGGTAAGGCCCTACCTCCCTCTTCGTGGCACGCTCCAGGTTCAGCAGCAGAATCTACAACTCCTCTAAGATACCAGATCATCAGCATACAGTACATAATATCGTTGACCAATAGGTAGCAATCCCTTGATCGAACCCGTGTATCGATCAGCGTCCAATTGTATATGTAGCAGATAACAGTTCCTCTGGTACAGCCATGGAAAGCTTTACGAACTACGTGGTAGAAAAAGACGTTAAATAATGGGGAGCCAGAGGTCATCCCTGTCGCACCCCAAGGTGAATGGGGATTCCCGGCCACGTAGCTTTTTACCCGAGCCTGCCAACCACCATGAAGGTCCTTAATGATTGTGAGCAGAGTCAGGAATCCCAAAAAACACGAATAACAGCCCTGGCCTACTGAATCATAATAGTTATATTAATCATGGAGGAATCTGATGAGCTATAAAGCTTGTTTCACACAAGTCCAGGAGGGGCGGGTCAGAAAGTTACAACAACGATGAATACAACAAGGAAATATGAGTGCAAATTAAATAAAGGTAAGCAAAATAACAGTTTAAAGAGGCTTATGATCGTATCATAGGCTTTGACCAGGTAAATAAAGCAGAGACGGAGGTCCCATTGACATTACTTAGGGGCCGTCCATAAATGACGTCACGCACCTGGGGGGGGAGTCAGACATTTGTGACGAGGGGGGGGGGGAGTTTGAGAAATGTGACGTCACATCAAAATGCGCAACTTTAAATATAGACAACACGTTCTACTTAATTAAATAGACTTTTCAATAAATGTTTTCTCCTACATCAGAGTGCAGCGCCACATTAAATACGCACTGCAATGACAATAGTTTAAAGCGATTTTAAGCACGTTTTATTTGGGGGGGGGGGGGGGGCAAAGCTTTGTGACGTCATGAGGGGGGTCTGACTTTTTGTGACGCCGTGTGACGAGGGGGGGGGTCGAAAATCGTCCGAAATCGCGTGACGTCATTTATGGACGGCCCCTAATACACCTCTGCTGTAGCAGACGGACACAGATTTTTTACACACACGCGGTGTGATTGACACACGGTGTGATTATTGGCAGTGTGATTATTCATACACACAATTGATTATAGATACATTGTGATTATTATTGACACACACACACAGTGTGATTATTCATACACACCATTGATACATGGTGATTATTATTGACACAGTGTGATTATTCATACACACCATTGACTATCGATACATTGTGATTATTAGTGACATAGTATGACTGGCACGCACGACAACACACGGTGTGATTGACACATCGTTACGTAAATGACACGCGGTGATGGATTAATCGATCACCGATCGCCCAGCAGTAATCGCCTAAATCAAATCGATTCAAAAATCGATCGTCTCGACACCCATCGCTTCGTTATTCGCGTCACAAGGCACGCGTCCTCTCCCGCGCGAATCGCTGGTACCGATTCCTCAAACTTCGAATTATAAAATCGCACAGCGGATCGATTCCCGCCCCCGTCAACGCAGCCTCGACGGTGGCTTCCCTCCCACCCCCCGCCGAGAGAATCGATTCGCGGGATCGTTCGCAAAACGCGGCTAAGTCTGCGGCGTCGGTCGGATCGATTCGGAGGTGACGTCACGCGGCGGCTCGGAGACGACATGGCGGACAGCGCGAGCGAGAGCGACACGGACGGCGGTGGAGGAGGAGGAGGCGGCGGTGTAGGAGGAGGTGGTGGTGGTATTGGAGGAGGTGGAGGAGCAGGCGGTGGAGTAGGAGGTGGTGGTGGTGGAGGAGGAGGAGGGAAAGGCGCCCTCCTCCAGCGCCTCGAGGAGCTCGGCAACCGCATCGCGTCCCTGCAGCAGGAGAACAAGGTGCTGAAGATCGAGCTGGAGACGTACAAGCTCAAGTGCAAGGCGCTGCAGGAGGAGAACAAGGAGCTGCGCAGGGCCAGCGTGACCATCGTGAGTGGCGGGCAGGGATGGTGGTGGTGGCGGCGGGAGGCGACGGCAGACCGGCGGGGAGATGGTGGGGACCGGGGTGGGAGGGGTTGAGGTGGAGATGATAGAAGCATGACGGAGGAAGGGAACGACTCGTCAGAGGAGGGAAGATGACGGGTGGTGGTGGTGATGATGATTGTGGTGGTGATGATGATGGTGGTGAGGATGATCATGGTGGTGGTGATGATGATGGTGGTGGTGATGATCATGGTGATGATGGTGGTGATGATTGTGGTGGTGGTGATGATCGTGGTGATGATGGTGGTGATAACGGGGGGGGTGTGAGAGAGACGTAGGATGGCGAGGGACGAGGTGTAGAGAGATGATGGGGGTTGAATGCAGAGATTGGAAAGGGAGGTGAGGTAACGTGGGATGGGGAGGGATGAGTGGTGGATGATGGCGAAGGATGATAAATTATGGGAGAGGGATGGAGGTGATGGGCGGTGTATTGGAGAGATGTTAGTGAAAGGGGAGAGGGATCAAGAGAAATGTGAGAGGAGGTGAGAGAGGAATGGAGACGTGAGAAGGGATACATGGGAGAGAGATGGAGAGAGAAGGATGAGTGAGATGCAGTGGACAGCATCGATGGTAGAGAGGGGGTTATGATAAGGGACCAAATAGATGGGAAAGATATTAGAGAGACGAGTGATGGGAGAGGAAATGGAGAGCGATGTCGTGGGGAGAAAGGAGCAATGAGGGGAGAAATATAATGGTGGGAGAGAAGAGAGGGAGGTGATGGTGTTCAGAAAAGGGGAGAGGCGATAAATGGAAGGGAGAGGTAGAAAGAGTGGAGATATTGGAGGAGTTGGGAGAAGGGAGATGGATAGGTGAAATCCTATTTACTACTCTTTGGTTGTTTCGGTAAAGTCACGTAGGTATAAATTAAAATAAATCACGATGTTTCGGGCGCAACACAAGCGTCCGTCATCAGGTGGCAAAGCATGGCCTGCTGCTGAGGCAGACTGTTTTTAAAAGGTTTGAAATGGGTGTAGCCCAAGGGTTATAAAGGAGTGACCGGGGCTCGTGATGTTAATGTGAGGGATTAGCATGATGTTAATGTGAGAAATTAGCATGGTGTTAATGTGAGAAATTAGCATGATGTTAATGTGAGAAATTAGCATGGTGTTAATGTGAGAACTTAGCATGGTGTTAATGTGAGAAATTAGCATGGTGTTAATGTGAGAAATTAGCATGGTGTTAATGTGAGAAATTAGCATGTGACTTAGAAAAGGAGAGCGGCCTTGACGATGGAGTGCAACCCAACGGGTGTAATCCAAAGGGCCTGTGAGCATGAGAGTGCAATCCAAAAGACCTGAGCATGAGAGTGCAATCCAAAGGGTCTGTGAGCATGAGAGTGCAATCCAAAGGACATGTGAGCATGAGAGTGCAATCGAAAGGACATGTGAGCATGAGAGTGCAATCCAAAGGACAGGTGAGCATGAGAGTGCAATCCAAAAGACGTGAGCATGAGAGTGCAATCCAAAGGACATGTGAGCATGAGAGTGCAATCCAAAGGGCCTGTGAGCATGAGAGTGCAATCCAAAGGGCCTGTGAGCATGAGAGTGCAATCCAAAGGGCATGTGAGCATGAGAGATCTGAGAGAGAGGCGAAGAGAGAGAGACACAGAGTCGGAATAACAGCTGACATAGGCAGGTTGGATGGAAACATCACAGTCAGTTAAGACTTTACCTGGTTAATAACGTCCTTCCAATGATTACTCAGTTTGTACCCATCCTCTCGGTTGAAGATGTGTCTGTGTTTATATATCTGGATGGCTTCATGAACACATCTCTGAAGGTAGCCGGTAAGTTTGCAGAGTACCTCCGTCTTGGAAAAATCTATTTCCTGTGAGCCCACAGCGTGGAGGCCGCTCTCCAATCTTACAGTTACATGCTAATTTCTCACAACATCATTCTAATTTCTCACATTAACATCACTCGCACCGGTCACTCGTTTATGACCCATGGGCTACACCCATTTCAAACCTTTTAAAACAGTCTGCCTCAGCAGCAGACCATGCTTTCCCACCTGATGACGGACACTTGTGTTGCACCCGAAACGTCGTGATTTATTTTATATCTACGTGACTTTACCGAAAGAACCAAAGAGTATGGATTACTGTATTCACGAAAGCTTCAAATCAAGATCCTATTAACTATTTAATATTTGTATTTTACTAGGTAAGGCCCATTAAGCTATAGAGCGTTTTTTCAGAAGCGATCTGGCCACAAATGATAACCCAATGACGTGTATTATCACGTGGACGTTTCTAGCAGCCAAATACTCTAAACGCATGTTTCTAAATGTGGAGGGGGAAAAAAACAGCAGGCGTCAGGGTTGGGATCGAATCCACGACCTCCTGTATACCAGGCGAGGTTGTTAACATCTCAGATAACTGAGAGGAGACAGAAGAGAAAATAGGTTGAAGTGAGCAAAAGGAAAGAGCAGAACTGGGCCCTATCCCTGTTTATCATCGTCATCACATCTCAATGTAACTCTGTCATCACCGTTACCTTGGCCTTCGAACGGTTCTGCCTCGAGCTCACAGTTCTCGTTCCGTAAGATGGCTCCAGTGTACGCTTGCTTGCCTGCTTTCATACAGATGAGATCATGATTACGATTTATCTAGCGGAATAAATGTTGGCTTACTAACCGGTAAGCCAATTATGCGTTAATGAATGGCTTTGTACTCCATTGCCTGCTTGGCTGTGTTCATGTACTCGCCCTGAGTAGGTCAGCATAATATAAACATTTGTCTGCAGACGTTTCGCTGCCCTTTGCCTCTTGCTAAGGTCACAACTTGTTGGGTTTTTTCACACACTCCGAAGCTGTAGTTCTATCACATGGTGCAGGTTATAAACGTTTCTAGAATATTTTTGTTAATGTGAACACCCACACGTTGTGGTTCGATATTGGTGCTTGGCGCCTTGTCAACCTGCTTCCACCTGGTTCCCCTCCTCCCTGCACATTGTGCACCACACACAACACAAAGACAACAACAACAACCGCTGGTGTGCCACGAAACCACAGGAGGTCACGGGGCTAGATCCCCAGGTGTTATTATGGGTTGACTGAGAGAGAGTGCGGTGGCAGAGGGAGTGATAGGCACCTCGCACAGACATCCACCCCACCCGCAGCCTGCCTCCCATTAAGGAACAAGCAGCTCGGCACGTGACTCTCCCTTTTGAAGCGCGACATCTGTCCGTGGCCGCCTTGTGTTTGCGCAGAAATGTTTATAGGTTTTAAACAAATGCTCGCCACGGTCTGCCGCCTGCCCGCTCCATGCATTTTCAAGCGTGCCACGAATGTGACTCATCATCGACACTGGGCCTTGCTCGCCCACACAAGTGGTTTCGCTCGACAGGGCTCAGCCGACGCTCCCCGTTTTTGGTACGAAGAAGAAGACCCGGCTCGGTGGATCGGTTTCCATCGAAAATTATTCAACTCAATTAGAGCACAGAGATCCATCACATGACCCCCCCCGACCCTCCCCCTTCCCCACGTGACAGCATTTTCCTGCCCTGAATTATCCACCGGTAAGACTCCTCTCAGAGTAAAAATATTGAAATTGCGGAAGCCCTCATTGCGCTTCACACAAACGGTAAAGCGCTCGGAGCTGCGCGTGCAAAGTGAATAGCCGGACCGGGATTCGGTCAAATTGCAGCTGTGCCAGTGTGTAAAACCGACAGACAGGCGTTACTGTCTTTGTCGGATTTACACACTGGTTTATCCCGGCCCGTGATTGGATGCCCCCATGCCAGCTTTACGACGCATGTCGGAACGAGCATGTGCCCGTTTTTTTTCTCTGTCATTGTGCCAGCGGTGGCTGTGGTAAGCGGCGTGTAGTGGAGGGGAGGGGGGGTGGTGGGACTCTGGGGCTCGAGTTCAGTCATTGCGAGCTCATCTCGCCCCGGTCTTCTCTGCTCGTGCGAGCGGAGCCAGCCGTCTAGCTCGCTGCCGACTCATCATAAATTCTGGTGGAGCCCCGGCGGTAATAACTGGTGTCGACATATTTACACCGGTGCTGAATTCAAACTGGCAATGTACTCGTGAAAAATAATCAACCGCTGTCAAAATCTCAGTGTAAAAAAATCGAGAGTGCCGCTGATGGATTTGTGGGACTTTAGCAACTTCCAAATGACTCGTGATGGAACGTGTTTGGTGCGTGTGTGACATTGTGCAGAAGTGTAGCGGTCAGCACGCTGCGCAAAGAACCCGGTGACCCGAGTTCAATTCCCACCCAAGGCCACCAGCACCAGTGACGATTATCTGAACCGGTCCTGGGCCTCGCCTAGGTCGACTTACCTTCAAATGACTAACTGGTGCGCTGTGTAAATATCGCCACTGCGGCGACAAAGGCAGTCGGGCATGGTACTGGTCACCCACCCCCTCGTGTGCCATTCTGGCCTTCATAGGTGCTCGTTAACAGCACTTGCCCCAAAAGTCTATTGAGGCCATGGCGGGGGGGGGGGGATCTTTGTCTTGTCTTTAAAGTTAAACAATTTGGTGTGAGTTAAGGCTAGAGAGAGCACATGAACACCAAACATTTTGAAGAGTGTTCCTCCCAACACAGCTGGGAGGCATTGTTAGCAGGACACATGGATATTCCTCGGTAGCACAGCCAGTGAACTTGGTGCGTGGCACATGCCTGTAATTCGGCACTGGAAGCGAGGGTTGGTGGATCAAGTGCAGACTAATCTTAGTCTGTCCCATCTCTATTTGATAGATTGTTTCCCCCTCGCACGTGTGGGTTTTCTCTGGGTGCTCTGGGTTCCTCCCACATGTATAAACACTTGTTATCAATTGGCTTAAAACATCTTAATCTATGCGCCTCCATGTGTCACGGATTGCGCAGCATCATGTGATGTATTTACATGAATGACGCTACTATATGAAAATTAATTATTACTAGAGTTATTGATTGGTGATCGGTAACCTGCATTTTTACGTCGATAATTTTTGGAAGCTGCCCTATTCTGGGTTATTTAAAGTGGTTGCTAATTCACTATCGATGGTTCTTATTGGAAGATCTTTCTTCGGATGGCCGCACGATAAGGATTACCCGCTTTTAATTTCTACACAGCGCTTAAATGCCTGCAGCACTTGACCATAATTAGTATTTGCACAGTGTGCACCGTGATAGAGGATCATGTGCAAACATGTAATACAAACTCCCACCCCTTCACGGATATTTTTTGTCAGTCCAACATTTATTGAACATGCTGATAAGACCCTCAAGATCAAAACTGGTCCAGGATTTTGCTCTTTAAACCAGCGCGTCCGTTAAGCAAGCGTCCCATCACCAAATGTACAAAAAAAACCCAACACAATAAATCTGGTCTGAGCTTAATTCGGATAAATTCCAATTGAGAACTAAAACTATCAGTGTGACTGTCATGCTATGAACCTCACTCTCTTGTGCAGAGGTCTCAGAGGTGGCTCTGTGGTAGCCGCCTCCACGGGCCGTTCTCCAACACAAAGGGTCGCACATTGCTTTGGGAGAAATCTGGCTTCTTTGGACGTGACCCTGATAGCCAAGTCAGGTTACATACTTTTCTATACTTTGTACTCCCATCATGTTTTTGTATTGGTTGTCGTAACGTTCTGACCCGCCCATACTGGACATCTGTGAAAAAAGAGCTCTATAGCTCATCGGATTACTCCAGCCTCAATAAATATTCTGATTCTGATGAGCGTAATATTGGGAGTGTGGGTAGAAAAGAACACGAGTGCGCTCGGCCTGGGCCGGCGATGCCGGGGTCCGCGTTTTTGTCCGCAAGAGCCACGGAGTTTGTGCAGGTCGGTCCCCATCACCCACCGCTCCTAGCAAAGGGGGATGAGGTGGATCACTAGGAAGGTTACTTTTTAACAAAGGTTAACATAGCCTGTGGTTGAAGTCATGCTTATCTAAGTTGACGTCCACCCGTGCCTGTGCGTTTAATGCCACTGGGAAGTTAAACTCGAGGTCGCACGGCGGCACGTTTCTCGCGAGCACCTCGGAAATTGCAGCACGGATCAGGGAGCGAGACCAGGCACCGGATTCTGGCATCAGTTTCGGCAGGGCCGGGTTGATACGGCATCGGGCATAGAATGATGTATGTGTGTATGTTGAACTTCTTTCGCACTGTACGTAGCCAACCACACTATGTGGAGGTGCGGGGGAAAGACAACAAACTATATACGAAAAGCAGTTCTAAAGAAATGAGTTTTTAATCTAGATTTAAATGGGCATGGCTTCAGTGGCTTCCTAATATTGGAAGGAAAACAATTCCAGGCGGCCACAGAAGCGCATCTGAAAGCGCGCGATCCAGTGACCAACTATTTTGATGGCTAGCCAAAAACTGCTGCGAGGATGACCGGGGCTCGCGTGACAGTTTATGCTCCTTGACGAGATCAGCAAGGTATTGTTTGTTAATTTTGTTGCAAGCACTTTGTGTGTGATGAGTGCGACCTTATAACGTATTCGTTTAGCAACCGGAATCTTGTGCAGCTCGGCGAGCACTGGACGGACACGGTCAGATCGTGCAGTCAGTGGATCTTCTTCTCATCGCACATTGATGTGCTGTAAAGAAGCTCATTGATGTGCTATTAAGAAAAGCCTGATGCTCCCCTTCGTCCCCAGCGATTCACAAATCACTTCTTGGTTAGGATTCAATAATGTATTATTTCTGTCTTTTTTGTACGTTCCTTGTTTGTCCTGTCTCATTTGTACAGTTAGTTTTGTTCACTCCATTAGCATGGTTCATGAGATTATCATTTGCATGTTGTTTGCATAAAATTATAAATGATTGTTGCATTATTATATCCCAAGCCAGTGACTATATAAATGGCGTAATCAAAATCCATAATTCCTCCTCTATTTCACCTCTGCACAAGGCCTGTTGCCTGAAACATATCACTACCAATGGTGATAGAGATTTTTTATTTTTGGCCTGTGTTTGCTCACCACTGCCAAAAGAGTCCCTGAAACATTGCGTCCGTGATTTATATGGAATTATCTGTGTGACCCAGTGTCATCGGGGTCATGATAACACCCATTAAGCCTGTTGCCAAGGCAAGCCATTATTGTAAGGTCACAAAACCTGGCAGCCTGAAGCACCAACTCAACTCATTATTCCTGCGGCAGTTGCTGGAGTCCTTGTAAGAGGCAGGTGTTGTGAAGCCCTGAAGCGGCAGAAGGGGGGGGGGCGGCGGCGGCGGCATCGTTTCGCCTGGAATGACCTCGGGGCCGTTTGACGGTCGTAGACCGCGTCTCTGCAGCGGGCTGATGATTTTTCATTTAAATCTACTTAAGGGATAGCGGGCGGCGTGCAGAATCGATACCCGTGCGCATTGTGTGCTGACTCCTGGCGCAAGCCGCTTTAAAAATAGATCTCTGACAGGTTCGCTGTTGGTTTGCAAAGGCATGTTCATACCGGTATTAATCTGAGCCCAGCGGATTATCTTGCTGATCGTTTCCGCAGATATTTGTTGGTGACAGATTTCGCGAATGGTCAAGTCTCTCCGGTAATACATTAATAAAAATAGATTTATCTTCTGCCTTGTTAAGAGTTGTAGTGCATTCTTCCATTGTGTGTGTGGGCTCTTTCCGTGCACCCTGGTTTCTATACACACGAAGTACGAATTACTTTAATCTTCCTCAGTTATATGCCCCTTGTTGTTGATGTCTCATCAACACAACAACATCTCCATGCTATGGCTGTTTTATGCGCACGGCAATACGTATCTTGTGCTGAGAGCTATAAATATTCCAAAATTAACCAAAAACTACATTGAATATGTATTAATGTACAATAATTCCTAAGGTAGCTGAGACCATTAACTCGCTACCCTTGGGAGCCTGGTTTAATCTCTTGCCGTATTCGCTCACGAGTCATCTGTCCACCTCTGAACACTGATCCTCGGGGCTCGGTGAGGCATTAGTGGGAACAAATTACGACTCGATTAATTGGGATAACCTCTGCTGCACACCGGGGCGGAGCGGTGGCATAGTGGTTCATGCAATCCGAGTTCAATTCCCAGCCACAACTGACATTGGTGGCGAGCGAACCGGATTGCAATGTCCCCTGCACCGACCCTCGCCGACCAGCATGGTGAAGTATGCTCAAACAACCCCCATCACAGGCTCGGCGTGGAGAGGCCTTAGTCCAGCAGTGGATTGACAAAGCTGATGTTAATTCGTTGGGGACAGACACGGCTAATGCTGTAGATTTCAATCGGTAAGCAATTTTGAGTTAAATCTAAAAACTTACCTTTTTAAACTTTTATAGTGTTACTTTTTATATGCCTTTAATAGCAATTTATTATAATGCAGTTTTTATTTGTACGGAAATTGCTTTTATTGTTCGTGCGATTTAGTCTTTTAACAATGTTTTCCTTTATCTGTACAGCACTTTGAATTGCATCTTTTGCACGAAATAGTGCTATAGAAATAAAGACTTGATTGAATGATTGGTAAAAAGTGGGCTTTACCTGGTAAGGTAAAAAGTAGTTAAGTATTATATGTATATTTTTTTGTATTGTTCGTTGTTGTAACGTTATGATCCGCCCATACTGGACGGCTTTATAAAAGACCTTTACAGCTCGGATTCCTCCGGTACAAATATTCTGAAACACATGACCCTGTCGTTCGTTTTTTTTTACATCTGCCGGAAACTTCGGATATATCCCCGGGAATGAGACGGCACCCACTGGCCGCCACCACCGTTTTTCTGAGTCTCCGATTCCCGTTTGTGTCCCCCTCCTCGTCCTCCTGTGTCCGCAGCAAGCGCGTGCCGAGCAGGAGGAGGAGTTCATCAGCAATACGCTCTTCAAGAAGATCCAGGCGCTCAAGAAGGAGAAGGAGACGCTGGCCATGAACTACGAGCAGGAGGAGGAGTTCCTGACCAACGAGCTCTCGCGCAAACTCATGCAGGTGCGGTGGGGCGCCCCTTCGCTCGGCTGCGTTCCGTCGCAGTGGAGACACGGCTTGCGATTTACCAGATAATTCGTGTGAAAAAAGGCACCAGTATCTAACAGGGAGGGTCCTTGTCCATAAGCATCTGGGGGTTCGCCAGCATTGGTTCCGTGCGAGCCTGACGTTTTTCGCTGGAGCTAAAGCTCGATGGATGCATGCGTCCCTCTGTGCGCCCATGTGTCACTCGGTTCTATATGCACGTGTTACTCTGTGTGTATCCACATGGGGAGCGATAGTGTAGCGGTTAGCGCGCTGCGCTATGAACCTGGCGACCCGGGTTCGATTCCCGCTCACGGCCAACACCAGTGACGATTATCTGAACCGGTCCCGGGCCTCCCCTAGGTCGACTCAGCCTCAAATGAGTACCTGGTGCGGTGTGTGAAGATCGTCACTAGGGAGACAAAGGCGGTCGGGCGTGGTGCTGGCCACCCACCCCCTCGTGTACCGTTCCGGCCTTCATAGGTGCTCGCTAACAGCACTTGCCCCTACAGTCTGTTAAGTCTATACGGGGGATCTTTGTCTTTGTCTTTGTATCCACATGTCAGTGTGTATATGCACGTGTTACTCTGTGTATCCATGTTTCACTGTGTATATGCACGTGTCACACCACCCTGTCAGTGTGCCGTGCTGGCCAAAATGGGTGCTCGCCAACAGGACTTGCCCTAATAGTCTGTCAAAGACAATACGGGGAATCTTTGCCTGTTGTGTGTGTGAACACGCTGCACACTCGCAGCTGAGGCAGGAGAAGGCCGAGCTGGAGCAGACCCTGGAGCAGGAGCAGGAGTTCCAGATCAACAAGCTGATGAAGAAGATCCGCAAGCTGGAGAGCGAGACACTCACCAAGCAGCAGACCCTGGAGCAGGTACCCCCCACTCCCCGCCTGTAACCCCCCCACCCTCTCCTCCATCCCCCCCCCCCCCGCTACCAGAGACTCTGCCCCATTACACAGCAGCATCTTTCTGTGGTTACCAACCATCACGTGCACGCAGTGTTCACCGGCTTAATTTACGAATGGAAAATATTGGTGAACACCTCCATGAGCGCCTCTTTTACTGCAGCCCTCATCGCTTTGCCTTGGCAGCTCCTGGCTTTGTCTCCTGAATGCACCCAGAGTGAGATTTTGACTACGGTGAAAAATCATCTCGCGTTGCCGCCCCTCACTTTTGGAACGAGCTCACTTCCTGGTATAGCTCATCGGATATATCCAGAATAAATAAATATTCTACCTGGTAAAATAAAAATAGTAACATTGTTCTCCGGCAGACACCACACAAGGCGCCTCCCCCCCCGCCATGTGGGTTTGACGGCGTTTGCTCTTTATGTGTGCGTGTGTGGCTGGAAAAGTTGCGGCGTGAGAAGATCGATCTGGAGAACACATTGGAGCAGGAGCAGGAGGCCCTGGTGAACCGGCTGTGGAAGCGCATGGATCGCCTGGAGGCTGAGAAGCGGTGAGTGGTCACGCGGTCAGCGTCGTCGTTATCATCGTCGTCCAGCGAGTCACCGTACCCAGCGATACGATGGATCATCGCGATGTGGGACTGTGATTCCGTGAAAGTTAAGATCCTTGTTTGTAAAAAAAATTTTGGTCTTTTTTTCATTGTGCTCCATTAACCCTCGTCGTAAATCCTACGTTCGTAAATGCTCACAACCCAGTGGCATCGCTCGCAGGGAGTGACGGCGCTCACTGCGAGCGACGGGGCTCGCCGTGGCGATGCTCGCAGCGCCCGCCGTGGCGGCGATATTCGCGGCGATGCTAGCGGCGCTCGCTGCCATCCCCCAGGATCCTGCAGGAGAAGCTGGAGCAGCCCGTGTCGGCTCCGCCGTCTCCGCAGGAGGTCTCCATGGAGACGTCAGAGACCCCCGAGAACCTGATGCGCCACATCCGCTTCCTGCGGCACGAGGTGGACCGCCTCAAGAAACAGCTGAGGGCCAACCAGGTGCAACGTACGTACCACTGACGAACACGCCCAGTCCACTGCTGGTTGAGAGTCCCCTCTCCGCGCCATGCAGCTGGTGGCAGTTCGTTGACTGTCACCTCACATCTCTTTAACTGCATTGTACTCATTTGTGTGTGTATTTGTAACCTTATTGGTGGTGAGATGTTGACTCCCTCACCTGATATGCAGGCGGTCGGGGGTTTTATCCCAAACCTGACGATGCATGTATATTTGGAGTTTGCATCTTCTCCAGGCCCTCTGCTTTTTCGCTCCACATTTATAAACAAGCATTTAAATTATTTGGCTGCTATAAATTTCCACAAGATAAACCACTTCCTTGAGCTATCATTTGTGGCCAGGTTGCTTCTGAAAAATAATCTATATCGCGCAGTGGGACTTTTCTGGCAAAATTTTAAATAATTTATTTTCATCATTTAGTTTATATCGATCTCTGGGTGTCTGGTTGACACCTTAAACCTTAGCGCACGAGATATAATGGCGCGTGGAGCGTGGTAAATGGTGCATAACTGCTGAGTGTACAGGCGGTGGAATTGCACCGGGGCCTATGGGCCAGAGGGACCCAAGCACCAGGTCACAAAGCGGGCAGATGGGGAGGGGTGGAGGACGGTTGCCCATTTCATTCCAGGGCTCATGCCAACCACGCTAATATGCCAGTCATGGTGTGTAAGCTACGCAATATGCCAGTCATTCTGTAGCGAGTCCAACTGAGTCGCAGACGTTGTTCCTTTTAGAGGCAACACATTTATTGTAACACCGTAACACAAAGGGGTAACTGCCCCTTCACCAGATACAGCCTAGAGTGGTGGCCACCTGCTAACTACACTATACAGAGGAGTTACAGCTACGAAGGGTTGGGCCCTCGCTCGGATCCGCGACCACGTGTTGATGCCTCGTAGGACGTAGAGCTTCCAGCTTGAGACGCAGAACTTCCAGCTTGTTGAATGCAGCGACCCCAGTCCCTCTCAGGGACCCGCCTTATATCCCCCCACGGGTCGGGGCCGCTCCGCCCATTGCCCCGCCCACCTTCTGGAGCCTTCTAGCTCCCCCTCGATCCCTCGAGAGCTCTCCCCGGACACGTGATCACCCCCTAGTCCCCCCACCTGCGGGCCTCTCTGTGGACACTCTAGATCACGTGTCTGCAGGGTCAACCAGAGTGCCATGGCCCGAGGCAACCCTGTCCTTGGGCTGAGACTCTCCCACTCCCCCTCGTGGGAGACTGCACTGCATGCTATGCGTCGTGCCTGCGCTATCCCAGCGCTCACCAAGCCCCGCTAGGGCTGGTGCTACACCCACCACGGGGTGTACGCGGTGGCAATGCATCGCACGCCACGGTCCTTCCGGGCCGGCACCATACAGTGACGTCCCCGATATCACTACAATTCTATCCCAGCCACACTATGCTATTCACACTATGCCAGTCACGCTATGTCAGTCACACGATGCCAGTCACACTATGCCATTCACGCTATGCCAGTCACGCTATGCCAGTGACAAGAAAGATATTTGAGGTTAAGCGGTTATGTAGTGGTAAGTGCGCTACGCTACGAACCCCGCGGCCCCGAGTTCATTTCCTGCTCACGGCCAACACCAGTGATGATTGAGCCTCAATTGAGTACCCGGTGCGGTGTGTATACATCGCCGGGCGTAGTGCTGGCCACCCACCCCTCGTGTACCGTGATGGCCTTCATAGCTGCTCGCTAACAGCACTTACCCTAACAGTCTGGTAAGGTTATAAGGGGGATCTTTGTTTAGTACGTGCGTACGTGTGCGTGCATCATGTGCATACGTGCGTGTTCGCGTGTACGTCCGTGTGTACGTCGGCATGCAGACTCGGAGAAGATGGCGCAGTACCTGGAGGAAGAGCGCCACATGCGGGAGGAAAACCTGCGGCTCCAGCGCAAGCTGCAGCGCGAGATGGAACGGCGCGAGGCGCTGTGCCGGCAGCTCTCCGAGAGCGAGTCCAGCCTGGAGATGGACGACGAGAGGTGCAGGGGGGCGAGCGTCGTGTGATGAGCCACCACCCCTGCTAAACAGTTTTCTACAACTCTAGATCATCACCTTCAAATTGATACACCCCCAAATGTGTTGTTCGGGTGTCTTTGAAATTTTGGTTGAGGTTGGCTAATTCTTTGCCCTGCCCAACAACAGATACAATTTCTCCGTGTGTGCGTGTGCCGCGCTCGTGCCCGGCACGTGCCGCGCTCGTGCCCGGCACGTGCCGCGCTCGTGCCCGGCACGTGCCGCGCTCGTGCCCGGCACGTGCCGCGCTCGTGCGGTGTAGAGCAGGCATCTCACCATGCAGTTACCCGGCCGGGTTTGCTCCGCTCTCCATCATGAATCATCGCGCACATCACCCGGAATGTGTGCCCCATTACGTCAGATCCCAGAAGCTAAGCTGTGGTTTAGGCTGTTGAGTATTTAAATGGTTTTATGATTATCATCATCATTGTCAACCATGATTTAGCCACTGCTCGACGAAGGCCTCCCCAAGCCGTTGCCATCTCTCATGGTCCTGCGATATAGCCATCAGTCGAGCTGCAGAACCAGCTTTTGTTGCATCACCTCATGCAGCTGCATGAGGTGATGCAGGTTACTGTGGGGCTACGTGTACCCACATCCATTATTCTACTGCTGCTATATGCTCTCACATCTATGCTCCCCATCATCACCAACCCACACTGATTAGCATGGTGATGTATAGTCAAACAACTCCTTACGATCCACAGGGCTCGGGGAGACCTTCCTACAGTAGTGAATTGAGCAATGGGGCTGGTCCGGTGAGCTCCGGCCTGAATGCAGTTGAGCAGTGGTGGCCAATACACCAATTACACCGAGCACTGTGATCTATTCTAATGGTATTCTCGGCTCTTTCGGTATAGTCACGTAAATAGAAAAACAAAAAATCTAAAAGTAAAATTAAAAAATAAGAAAATAAAATTATAATAATAATAAAATAATAACGTGAAAAAAATAAAAGCAAAAAACCCACGACGTTTCGATCGCAACACAAGCAGTCTTTTTTGTTTTTCTGTTTACGTGACTTTACCGAAAGAACCAAGAATATGAATTCCTGCAGTCCCGAAAGTTTTAAGTCAATCTATTCTAATGGCTTTCAACGGGCTCCACCATCCGCCAAGAAGCGAGCACCAACATTTACCCGGATGTAACGCTGTAAAATACTGCAGACATAAACTACTAGTGCCATCTATTGGTAGAAGTTATCATTGTTTGAATGTGTAAAGTCTACGTTGGGGATTTTTTTTTTGCCATCTGTCATGACGAATATTGTCTGCTTATGTCAATGTTCGTTCTGTCCCGAGATTAACAAAAAATATTTTGCCATCATCCACCTGTGGATTGCGATCCACGTGTTGGCCATGTGACACAACACACGGTTGAGGCAAGTGCTGTGAGTGAGCAGCACCTATAAAGGCTGGCATGGCACACAAAGTGGTAGGTGGCCATCACCACGTGACACACACACGCACAGGGACCGGTAACTGGCACTGCACTGGGGAAGTGGTGGCAGAGCCAGTGCCGAGAGATGCCACCCGCTCGCTTGCTCGTTTTTCTGTTTACGCGGCTGCCACTAACTACCGCTTAATGCGGTGGTGGTGGTGGTGGCGGCGCTCGTGTGACCACGTCTGACAGACACTTCAACGAGCTGGCCTCGCAGGGCATCCGCCCCCGTACCGTGAGCAGCCCTGTGCCCTACGCGTCGTCGCCGAGCCACAGCCGGCCCATCTCTCCTGGTGAGAAACGCTCCCCCCAGCGTGCTCGCTCGGTGCCCCCTTTCGTCTGTGGCATACCGATAGATAACACACACCTGGTGTGTCAACGCGCGCTCAGAAGTCGCTCGCACCGTGGTTCCCGGCAACTGTAAGATGCTAACTCCCTTGCCTGGTGTACAGGAGGTCGTGGGTTCGATCCCGACCCTGATGCCTGCTGTCTATTTTGAGTTTGCATGTTCTCCCCGTGGTCAAGTAGATTTTTGTCCGGGTCCTCCGGTTTTTCCCTCCACATAGGAAAACATGCTTTTAGAGTATTTGGCCGCTATAAATTTCCATGTGATGAGCAACTTTGTTGAGCTCTCATTTATGGCCAAGTGGCTTCTGCAAAAGAGCTGCATATCTCAGTTTAGTTTTATTATCATCAGACATGGTCAAACCACCACTGATGGATGAAGGCCTTTGCACAGGAGCTGATCTCCTTACTCCATCTCCTCGGCGGATGTCCTCTCACATGCATTCTCCTTTTTGCAGGTAGTTTTATGAACGTCAAACAAACTAATTGGCAAAGTATTATTGTAATACCAACTGTGTTTCGTGTAACCAGTGCTGTTTGTCACCAATTAAATTATTTCAAGCGTACACATTGACACCATTTCAGCTCACATGTGCGGTGGAAGGGTCAAACACCATCTCGTAACTGTAGACGACATGGAGTGGAGCGGTGATGCAGCGGTTAGTGCACCGAACTATAAATCCGGAGGTTTTGAGTTTGATTCCTGGCTATGGCTAACATCAGTGGTGAGTGGTATCTGAACCGGTCCTGGGTGCCCCCTCCACCAACCTGCACTGACCAAGCATGAAGCATTGGCAAGTGATCCCCGTAACCAACACCGCATAGTGGGAAGGAAGCCCTTATTCAGAAGTAGGTTGACAAAGTGCCGTGAAATATCCCTGTTTTATACACAGCACTTTCAAAATGTCAAACACCAATATCTAACCCAGGTCGCGGTCTGAGCTTGGCTGTGTTTCACTCCAGCGCTGTCCTCGACAGTCTGGTCCCTTCACCTGATGAAGGCCGCTTGTGTTGTGGCCAAAACGTCGTGATTTTTGTTGTTTTAATTTTTACCGATGTGACTTGACCGAATAGAACCAAAGAGTTTGGATCCTTGCAGTCACGAAAGCGTCAAATCTAGAATCTAACCCATTGACGCATCTTCGACTTTAATAATGCCGAAACAAGTAAAGACACACACAAGGTTGTGTTCATGACCTGCTGCCTCTGGCTAAATAGATTATAAAACTCTCGCAAAAACTTACGTGCTATAGGGATGTTTTTGAAAGTTTTATGGAACTGCCCAATAACAGCTACAATTTCTCCGTGCGTGCTTGTGCCTGTGTGTACGTGTTTGTACGTGTCTCTGTGTGTGTGTCGGTATGTGCCTGTGTGTGTCTCTTGTGTGTGCCTGTCTGTACTGGTCGGTACGTACCTGTGTGTGTCTGTACGTGTCTTCGTGCTGGTGTCGTGTGGAGCAGGCATCTCGCTATGCAGCCACCCGGCCGGCTTTACTCCGCCCTCCACGCTCAGCCGCTCTACGCCGCCTGCCCACCACCTCCCGCCCGGCCTGCATGGCCCCACGGGCCAGGGCATGCCTGTATGTAAACACACACACACACGATCGCGCATGTACAGAGCAAGACAGAGACCCCCCCATATAGCCTCCACAGACTGCTGGGCACCTATGAAGGCCAGCACCGCGCATTGTCTCCCGAGTGCTGATGTTTACACATCGCAACAGTGGCAGAGTTGACCTAGGGGGTGCTCAGGTCCAGTCACATATTCATCACAAATATTATTTGGCCGTGAGCGGAAATCGAACTCGGGTTGCTGGGTTAGTGGCGCAGTGTGCCAACCACTGCACCACCGCTTCCCACACGCACAAAGGCAAACACACGTGCATTATAGCAAGGCCGGTTGCACGTTGTTGAATGTACGTGTCAGACACTTTAAGGATGTGGGTCAGCATTAATTTAATGAAGTTGCTCCTTCTGCTCCCATGATGTGGAGCACCTTGCCCCCAGCCGTTGGCTCCCAGAGGTTTTTTTCCTCTGCCCACTCTCTGCACTGCATCTGCGGTACATTTCCTTCATGAATATAAAATTAAAGACAAGCTGCTGTCGTTGTGATTGTGACCATGCAACACAAACTGTGGACTAACGGAGGAATAGCAAAACTACACAAAGTCTCTCCTAAAGCCATTATTGACCTTTAGCTCATGACCATATTGGCTAACGCAAAAATAGAAGTACATTCGGATGCTCTAAAAAAACTCAATTGCATTGTAGTGGTAGTGTATTGTTCCTTGGGCGTGATATATCACCCAATTAGGGCTGTGATTTAGACGCGACAGTTCATCATTCGTCCTTAATAAGGGAGGAGAAAGTCTTACAGAATCACGTGGTGGTGGTGGTGGTGGTGTCAGACGTACTCGGACGGACCTCACTTTTCATCCACGCTGGGGCGGTGGCGATAATGCATTCCATTTCTGCTGCACGTAAAACCATCGATCTTACTCTACCAAGAGCCACACCTGAATCTATGGATAATTATCTTTAAATTGACATCAAATACATATTGCCAGGATGTTGTGAATGTGTAGAAATGCCCAATAATGTACACACTTGTTTATAAATGTTCGCGTAACCCGAACACATTGTTTGAAAACCATCTCCTTAACTCCTGGTGGTGGTGCGTGCTTGCGATGCAACACAAGAATTGCGAAACTCCCATACGCACCACGCTGTGAGGTGGTCAGGAAAGGTTTGTGAAACCGAGTGAGTCCTGTGCGTGGAGTTGCTCTGGGTACTCTCCCACACGCAAAACGCTATTCTAAAAGGAGCTATCTAAGCATTCCAGTGGAGGTCCCTCCTGATATTGAGACTGTATCTTGGAAAGAGGAATAACATTTACATTATGAGACCTCCTTTGCCAGTAACAAGATATAGGAATAGGTTTTACCCTTTTAACTGGCACAAAAACTGACACCTTTATTCAAGGCATCATGTTTGCAATAACCACAACACAAGCAGTCAAATGCAAACAAAAAAGACAACTCTGATAATAATAAAGCCTAGACTAGGCTCTAAGAAAAGCTGTCTCGGGTGTGGACCAATCAAATTCAAGGACAGTGCATATTATTATCAGAGTTGTCTTTTTTTGCATTTTGACTGCTTGTGTTGTGGTTATTGCAAACATGATGCCTTGAATAAACGTGTCAGTTTTTGTGCCAGTTAAAAGGGTGAAACCTATTCCTATAGGAATAACATTGTTATGGCTATTGTAAAGAGATTGAGCAATGAAAACCTTGAAAGATGGCGATGGCTCGGAGAGGCCTTCATCCAGCAGTGGATTTATCATGGCCAATAATGATTATTAATAATAGATTAATAATAGTTCTCATCACAGCTCGTTCAGTATCGTATCAACTAATGAGTGCCAGTTCACTGATCATCACCCTCTCCCCTCTCCGTACCCTTCCACCAATAACCCTCGACCCCTGCGAACCCGTCCACCCCCTCCCTTTGACCTCGTGACTCGATGGACCGCAGCGCCCGTCTCCGAAACGCGGGAGCAGCCCCGACCGCTTCAAGCGCCCGACTCCGCCGCCATCGCCCAACACCTCGAGCAGCAGCAGCCAGGCGCCGCCACCCCCGCCGCCCCAGCAGTGAAGCCGCCCCCAGCGAGCTGCACGGCCCTTCCTCCGGCCACCGCAACCACAACTCCCACCGCTCCCATCGCTCTCACCGCTGCCGCTCCCAAAACGCCGATTTCCGGAATGGAGTGGCTTCACCAGCGGCTGCGGTGCCGCCACGCTTTGGTTCGGAGTTGCCAGGTTGCGTGCGGTGGGTTAGCGATCGATCTTTCACCGTTATCCTTTTGCGTTCTTTATTTTTTTGTCGCCGTTGTCCGCGTGTGATTTTCTTTGGCCGCTCTCGAGCCGTAGCTGTTTAGTTTTGGGGCTGGCGAAGTCTCGTGGCAGCGTCCGCGTAGATTATAGCGGCTCGCACCGGTCAGCACCACCGCTCCTGCTTGTAGCGCTAGCGGGTTCCTTCTAGGCAAGCAAGGATGCGGCCTAGTGCCGCCCCCAGTATCGCTCGGCCCGGCTGGAGCCTGACTCTCGAGGCCTCTAGGCCTTGCTTCAGGCGTTCCCCAACACGTCCCGTCAACCGTCCTATTTGCTGCTTGCACTGTGACACGTGTGGCTTGATTTTGTTTTCATTTTCTCTTTTGGCTGTCTAATAAGCATGTCTAACATAATCATTTTTGTACATGGTTTTTTGTTTTAACAGACGTGATAGTCCGTCGGTGAAACATTAGGTGGCGTGGTTTGTGAGCAGCGTTGTGCGTGTTATCTCTTCATCTCAGCGTGATTCGTGTAATTCCGTTTGACCTGTTGAACGTAAATGTGATCGTGTTAAGCAGCGAAAAACTAAAATTCAATGCTTTGCCTAATCAGTGGAGTGAGTCGTTGAATGTACACTATCTGAGCACTAACTGTCAGACTAGGAAAACCCGCAAAGGGACAGTATGAAGAAAACACGCTCGAGGTTTAAACTTCCCGTAGAGAGAGAATCATTATTTTTGGAAACCCAGTGCTTCTGTGTACTGCATGCCAACCATACAAAGGAGTTGGGCAAGAACCCCTTGAGATGCGACCTCTTGCAAGCGAGACCTGAGAAACCCAACTCGCTCTTTTCCATGATGCTATATTCGTAGGTAATTTTTTAAGCGCGGTAATCGGGCTGCGGCGCACAATGATCAACAATTTGCGGACGATGTCACAGGGTCTCTCTTGCACACTTTACGGCAGACGGCGCACTTTGGGAATGTTAATCCCCCACCGCGCTGTGTGGATGCGTGAACCGGCGATGCCACTGCAACCGTCCCCAGTGGCGAAGTACGCCCACCGCTAAGCCACCCAGCGGATGCCAAAAATCCTTCCCCCTCTATCCCGGTTAAACTCTTTAGTGTGTCCGGGATTGTGAGCAACCGCTGTGGACAAAGGGGATGGTCTGCCCATTTCACTTTCCTTTTTTGTCGAAGAAACGTCCACCTTCGCCGCACTCGGGGGACACAGAAAATCTGGCAGTCGTTCGCACTACAATTGACCTTGCTAGGATCAGCGGGGGTGACCCAGTGACAAAAATTGGGCATGCGGGGGTAGGGAGGGGGGTCACTGGAACTTGTAACTGGCGCCAAATAAATTGGGGTGTGGAAAATCCTCAAGTCATCGCCGTGGCCCCCCAAATAAACGAGTGGAGCGTGTTTGTGTTTACGAGCGGCCATCTGGAACGCTTGTTAGGTGACTTGCGCAGAGGTGGCCGCTTCGTAGCAGCTGTGGGAAGGGACCTGGCTTGAAAGTAGAGCTTCTAAAAATCTCGAGGCCTGCCTGCGTCCGATATTTTCACGAAGCGCGTGTTCCGGACAGCTCGTGTTCGCTTGTTTACACTGCTGCTGCCGTTATTGTTTACAGAAAAATAACGTGGTTTGGTATTTTGGAAGTGATGGCCGTTTTTTTTTCCCCGTCTTTCCCCGAATGAAAAGTAATGACCCGACACACTGGCCAATGGTTTAACAGAAGACAGCTCGTCAAATGAGAATAATCTTTAAGTTCGAGTCTAGCTGTCGCGAAAGCGGCAACAATTTCGTGGTGGACGGCTTAGAGGTTTCTTTTGTGTGTGCTCGTGATTCTGAAAAACGTTTTCTCCCAAGTATTATTACTTGTTAATTCTTTAGTATTAGTACGAAGCAGAGCATTCTCGCATAACGGTGTTTTTTTAACGACAGAAATAAATATACAATAGCAAACGGAAACCATGATTTTTCCCTAAGAGTGCAAACGGCCTTTTGTTCAGCTGCAGCAAATGTCGGACGCAGGTGTGACAAAATAGATTTGTCTCGTCTTTTGCGAATGAATGTTGTGATTAAAGCCTTGCACCTAGTTTCCACGATGTCCTGACGCTTTGGTGAAGCCAGTGTTGGTGTCGCGAGCCATCATTCCCACGCGGCTCTCGGGACGTGCCTCGCCAATGTTGCATAAGCCGCCGCGAGTCGAGTCTTTTATTTTGAACGGGGGAAAAACAAAATCGCGGAGCGCGTTACGGGAACCCCCCGGCTTCCAGTGTATGACGCGTCGTTACCCGCGGGCCACGGCAATGGCACAAAGACGGCGGTGGTTGCGTGCGTGCATTGCCACACGCGGCACGCATCGCGGTGCAAGCTTTGCTCTGCCCCTCGGGCGTACGGAAGTCTCCCCCATGACCGCGGGCTGCAGAGCACCTAGCTTGAATCGGGCCGCGCGTCATCTGCACCGGTACGTCTTGCTTGGACACCGGGAGACCGGGTTTCTTTGCTTTCAACCCCCGGAGGCGCGGGTTGGCGGCGATAGTGAGTGAGCCTCAATCCGTCGGGAACGCCTCGTTCCGCCCAGACGGCGGCTCGTGTTACTTCCTCCGCTAACGACGTCCCGTGTGCACGCGCGCTCGCCCAAGACCTCGTCTGCCACGCTCACTTCATCGCTTTCGTCTCCCGTTTTTTAGCTTTGCGCTTGTTTACGCTGTTGCCCAAGCCTGCTGTAGCAGCATGCGGGGTCGTGTGTTGGTGGGCCAGCGGGGAGGAGGACGCGTATTTCCCGTTGTTTCTGTCACAGCTCCTGTCGATGAGGTTGAAGGAGAAGGCAGTTGTAAAGAGAGCGAAAATAGATCATTAAAGTTGGTTTATATCGGAGGCAAGGGGCCTTTAATCCTGCTGTTACGTTGATTTTTGACAAAGTATGGGAAATCTGGCCGAAATGTTTTGGCAACTTTGGCTCAGTTATGTGAAGTCTGGATAGGAGCTGCCTTTGTGCTAAAAAAATGATTGGATGAAACAGCGCAATGTGGCATCAAGATTTACTTTAATCCATTTGCCCTTGTTTGAAAAATAGTCGAGTTAATTTAGTGTGTGCGGGTTAATCTCATGAGCCTGAATAAAAAAAATCGTCAAAATATTTGTATTTTATTTAGATGTATTGTGTTTGGCTTTTTTGTGGTTAAGCGTGAAATAAGGTGGCATGTTGCCTCTGTAGATCAAGTCCTTGGCAAGTCGAGCTTATAACGAACGGTGGAGTCCGAGTGACTAGCAGAGTCTCCGGGAGGAAGTCGCTGGCTGTGTGGGCCATACAGTTGGTATAATAAGAGTGATTGAGTGTTTGGTATTGGCGCTTTCAGTCTTATAGCGCAGGGCTTTTACAGAGGAAGGTGCTGTGTTTCACAGGCACAGTCTGAAGAAGTTTCATAGCCGGGGATCATACGTAATCCCAAATGAGTAATTTCCAGTGTCACTTTCTCTACGTCCATGCCACCGTCCACTGGGTCACTTTGTTAACCTTAACGATCAATCGTTAGGGTCGTTGAACGTGATGCAGAGAGTGTTTTGTGCCCACCTGTGCCACCTTACTCCCCCTGCCCCACTACCCATGATCCTCGCTGATTTGTCTGCATCTCAGAGCGATCTGCAGGCAAGAGTCTTAGTCGCCAGCCAAAATTAAAAATAATTAATTTTATGCACATTAGAGCCTCCAGACATGCAACACACTATGTAACATTGATTTATTGCTTTTTCTTCGATCGTGGCGTTCTTATTCTAGTCGTTTTCTTCTTCACATAAATATAGCCGACGTGTTAAATACAGCATACTTCGCGATTTACTGTACAACTGATAATCCCGAATGGCACCCAAAGCGGTTGCTTCGGCGTTGTAAAATATGAGACTGAAATCCCCAGCGCCGACTACCACGTTTTACACCTCTCGCAGTCGAGCACGACATAGGGGAGCTGTTTCCACACAGCCTCGAAAACGGAGCTGGTACCCTGGGCCAGACTCCATATGAGACCGCTTCAGTAGGCCCTGCTGCGGCAGGGCCTCAAGCAGCAGGACAACCGAACCAAGCCAGGCTGCCTTGGTGGACAGCAGAGGCCAATCTTGAGAAGGGGGGCCTACCTTTGGGGGGGGTGACCCTCTTCCAAATTTCATCCTTAAAATGGACATAAGTGCATGGGGTTGGGGGCTCTCTTAGAGGGCATCCCAGTGCAGGGCAGGTGGCTGTCGCACACGAAGATGAGCATCAACCTCCTGGAGCTGCGGCCCTTCGTCATTCCCACCCTCGCATTCGGCAGAAAGGGATTCTCATGCGCTGTGACAACTCAACCGCAATGGCGATTGTGAACCGCCGGGATTCGCCCCCCAGCCCTCCGGTATAATTCTCTTAATCATGGGAGGCTTGGCAACTCCTGTGTTGGGTGGAGAGGCACCATGGACCTGTCACCTTGCCGGGACACAGAATGTGGTGGCAGACGCGCTAAGCCAATGGTGGCTCCATCTGGCAGAATGGACGTTGCATCCAGAGGGGTCCGACGGTTTGGTTCGTTTGTCATAGACCTCTTTGTGTCGTAGACAAACCATTCTGCAAGCAATTCCTGTTCCCCGCTGCAGTTGCTACTGATGCTATCACGGTACCCTGGACCGGAGAAGGTCTCTAAGCCTTTCCTCCGTGGTCCCTCATTCCGAAGGCCGTGGCCAAGATAAGGAGGGAAACGGGGCATCTGTGCTGATAATCGCCCTGCATTGGACCAGACAGCACTTGAACTAAGAAGAGGCCCTCCGTGACTCCTCTCAGATCGGGACAATCTGCTTCTGCACGGTGAGGTTTGTTGCCCAAAACGTTTGGCGTTTTCAACTGACTGCCTGGACGTTCAAAGGATAAGATTTACCTGGGAGGGTATCTCCAACACTCCCTACTGACAGCAAGGAGAGCCAGCCTCCACAGGCAAGGTTTATATCAAGCCATTGGAGCTCCGTTTCTTGTTAGTGTGTTAGAGCTGGGCAGGACTCACTTTCACGCGGGATCCCAGCCATTGCCAGTCAATTGCAGGTGGGAGTTTGAGGACAGCAGGTCAGCTGCATCTGTTGAAGTGCGACTTTTGGCAGTCATGTGCGCGGCGTACCAGTGGGTTTGCACTGTTGCGGTCTAGGCTCCCGAGGGCTATGGCTCTGGAGACGCCTAGGCGACCAGCTTTGGTGGCCCCTTGGGATCTCAGGCTTGTGTTGGACGCCCTTGTGCGCTCGCCATTTGAGCCAATGACCACGCCGTCTGAACGATGATTCCTCTTTACATTAGCTATTTTCCTTGTGGCCATTGCCTCTGCCAGAAGGGTGAGCGAGTTATATGCTTTGTTGGACTATCTCCCCCTATGTGGATTTCCAGGCTGCCGACTAGGTCATTCTGAGTTGACACCACCAAGGTGGTGTCAATTTTTAATCTGCAGCAGGAGCTACGCTTGCCAATTTTGTGCCCGGCTCCCTTTGAACCGGACAGGCAGAGAGGTCTTCACACGTTGGACATGGCAAGGGCCCTATAATTGTCCATACAAATGTAATAAACGACTTCCAAGACGACTCTTGACTGGTGTCTTTTTATTAACAGAATTTCTGCACAGCTCCGCTCCTCTCTCCGAATATGTCCCCTTCTTCTAACTGCCGTGGACGAGCCGTTCTCTTCGTCCCACTGTCAAGTTTCGCCTCCCTCTCTACGACCCCGCCGCTGTCTGGCGGCGTGCTGGGAAGAGAGGCGACCTTCGCTGGGGATCCGCCACGTGGTTGATGGCGAGGAGAGGTTGAGCAGTTACACGGTCCGGACCGAGGCTTCCCACACTCCTCGACTCCTCCCCTGCCTCCGCTTATATTCCTCTTGGCGGAGCTAAGCTCCGCCTCTAGCCACGCCCCCTCGTGGAACCTTCCCGATGGTTCCCGAACGTTCCCACTGACTCCGCCCGTTACCTTTGACCCAGATATATCCCCGCTTAGGATTGGATCACGGTTACCCGATAATGGCCGTGTAGTTACCCCTTGTCGCCCGCTAGATGGCGCTCTCTCATGACAAAGGACAAGCGACCTGGCGAGGATCGCGGCCGTTCTGTATGGGAATGCCGTCAGGGGTAATGCGGCCATAAGGTCCGGGTTTCGATTTCTGTTCGACTAAAGAATGTGTTTGTGTTGCATTTGTGTGTTGGCCAAGAAGGACCCCCCCCCCCCCGATGGTCTGAGAGCCCATTCCACGAGAGCGGTGGCGACATTGTGGGCTAGGGCATTCAACGTGGCGTTGTTGGATGCCATTGGCAGGGCAGCGACTTTAAAGTCGCAGCACAAGTTTGTAAGCCACTTACAGCCTGTAGACACGGCAGTTATTTCCGCTGCTATTTCAAGAATGGCTTGCCTGTCCCTTCTCTGGTTACCAACTTTGGTATTGTTGGTAATTGTTAAGATTTAATGAAGTGACTAATAGACGGTGGCATGGACGCACAGAAAAAAAGGTGTTTGCGTCTTGGTAAAAACTGGTTTCTCTGGTCTATGCTGTCGTCCACTAGTCTCCCTCTCATATTTTAGTTTAGGCTACTCTTATGAGGAGACTTTTGTCAGGGTGTATCAAATTGATGAACTGGTGAGTGATCTGGTCGTTCGGTTCGTGCCCTTACCTTAGTTTTCAGTGTAACATTTTCACTTTACGCTTTATGGAGTCTTCACTGCACCTTTTTCAGTGTCTGACTACTCTCTTCCCGTCCTTTGCTCCACGTGGTTCCTCTTGTGTTCGCGGAGTGAGGGAATAACAGTGTTAGTGTTTTCCCTCTACATAAAAAAAAAGATTGGCTTTGCTGAAAAGTAGTGAGGCTCATGGGTAGTGGGCAGGGGAAGTCAGGTGGCAGGGGCGGGCAACATGTACTCGCCACAAACATCTGCATCACATTACGTGGCCCAAACTGAATTGCTAATTCTTAATATGAACTAAGTGACCAGTGGATGGTGGCATGGATCGGAGATATTTGTTTTACAGAGGTACAAAACCTTATCTTAAAATTTTGATTATGATGCCGGCTCTTTTCGAATGGCATCACGTCCAGTTGGACAGATGGCCACGTGTGCCACGGTTAATACACCCACAACAGCAGCAGTATTAAACCGTGCCGGCCTACCAGATTTTAACCGCGGAAGCGCTGCAACGAGCGGCGGACGCGCCGCCGCCCGCCAAGGGCCACGACGGAAACATTCACAAGCGACTCGGGAACGAGAGCGCACGAGATAAAATCAACGCGGTGCCAAGTTCCCCGATGCACGCACGCGCCGTGCATCAGGGCTCGCGGAACGCGGTCGCTGTGGCAGAAACGAGGCCTCCTCTGGGTTTGGAGCCGCGTCACCCTGCGCGCGGATGTGTGCGAGCCTCTCTCTGACGGTTTGTCCTGTAAAGCTGACAAATAAAGTGTTTGTTCTCACAGCAGTCCCATAGTTCTCGTCAGCCTTTGTTGCCGTGCGCGCGCGCGTGTGTGAAGCGGGTGTCACCCTGGCTGTGCCGAGTCTCGTCAGATCCTGTCACGACTCTAGAGAAAACCGGGGTTGATCCCGGTTCGTGCTTGAATGGGATCGTCGTAATCGGCCATGATCTAGATACTGCTTAATGAAGGCCTCTCTTAAGTCTTTGCCATATAATGGGCCTATGATGAAAGCATTAGGTCATAAGCACCAGACGAAAACTGATATGATCACTCCATCTCCACGGGGGATGATCCTTCTGTCAATTTCTCTCCATTAGTCTCTGCTGACCATCAACCCTTCCAGCGACGCGTTCCTACACAAAAAAACCCCACTATTCTCAAGCGGTCCAATATGTCGTCCCTAATGCACGTAAATCCCTCTTGATATTGCCTGGGTAATACCTGGTGTTGGTGTGGCCAGCTCTGGCAGTGCAGCGGTGGATTCTTGAACCTCTTGTGTATATGAGAGCAGCTTTGAGCGTTACCGATGTCTCTCTCCACGCTCTCCCCCCAGGCACTCCAGCTCGCCCAGACGTGCTCATCAAGTCAGCTAAGTTGTTGGTGGCGCGCCGGCTCCTCGCCGCGTGACTGCTGCCTTCCAGCTCTCGTTGGCGATTGTGAGATACCAATTGGCACCAACGATGTCGACCGAACGCGCGATGTAAAAAAACAAATCTAAATATCCGAGCGTTCGCGGAGTTGTGCAACGGACGCGTGAACGGTTAACGCGTCGTGAGAGCACGGCATCAGTGACGTCTCGCAGCCTCTTTCAAGTTCAGCAGTCAGGGAATTGCCCCCCCCCCCCCCCCCAAACTATGTACATCAAAGATCCCCCGTATAGCCTCACACGAGGGGGTGGGTGACCAGCATCACGCACCAGGTACTCGTTTTAGGCTGAATCTACCTAGGAGAATCCCAGATCCGGTGCACAGAATCGTCACTGGTGTTGGCCGTGAGCGGGAATCTAAATCGGGTCGCCGAGTTTGTAGCGCAGCGTGCTAACCGCTGCACCACCGCTCACCACATCATCCACGTCCCTTCACACACCACGTGTTGTGTTCAACCCCTCAGCGATTTAGTACAGTACAGTCCTCGTGTAACACGGTTGTCGACGCGTCCGTAAAAAGTGCCGCGTTAACCGAAAAACGTGTTCAGCGAAAACGATTTCCCCATAAATAATGTAACGGTAACGTTTGGCGAGATACGATGTAGGCACAGTGAGGTGGCGGTCGTGTACCCTATCATTCCACGTACTCTGTTATACTGCTCAGCCACGCAGCTTAAGAAAGTAGTTCGTCGTCGACCGCTCAGAAACCGCGTTGTAACAGGCGTGTTCCGCGTTATAACGGGTGTGTTCCACATAACGGGCGTGTTCCGCGTTATAACAGGCGTGTTCCACATTATAACGGGCGTGTTCCGCGTTATAACGGGCGTGTTCTACATTATAACGGGCGTGTTCCGCGTTATAACGGACATGTTCTGCGTTATAACGGGCGTGTTCCACATTATAACGGGCGTGTTCCGCGTTATAACGGGCACGTTCCGCGTTATAACGGGCGTGTTCCGCGTTATAACAGGCATGTTCCACATAACGGGCGTGTTCCGCGTTATAACAGGCGTGTTCCGCGTTTTAACGGGCGTGTTCCGCGTTATAACGGGCGTGTTCCGCGTTATAACGGGCGTGTTCAGCGTTATAACGGGCGTGTTCCACATTATAACGGGCGTGTTCCACATTATAACGGACGTGTTCCACATTATAACGGGCGTGTTCCACATAACGGGCGTGTTCCGCGTTATAACGGGCGTGTTCCGCGTTATAACGGGCGTGTTCCGCGTTATAACGGGCGTGTTCCGCGTTGCGACAGGCGTTGTTTCCTCCTAGAGTGTGTAGGCCGTGACCTGCTATATTTGCACAGCGCAACGTCGCGCTGTGCGAGCATCGTCTCTCATTACAGCCGCGGGCGACTTCTTCACCGCCCTGATTGGGTCTCAAGCGGCGTGGCGACAATGCGAGAAGCCGATGGCAGTGACTGAAGGGGGACATCTCTCTCACTCGGATGCCTTCACAGCCACCCAGAGGCAAATCAGACTGCGGTGTTGCAGCGGTTTCTAATAGAAACAACTTCAAATGTTATCCGCATTAGACAATTCACGTTGAATCATTGTATTAAAAAAAAATTAACGCAATAAAACAATTTGCGGAAAATTATTATTACACGCTTTTTATTAACTCTGTTGTATCCTCAAATCTTGTAACTTAATTTCAACCCACATCCCAATGTGGTATCGACTGCAAACTTGGTATACTGATGTTATACTGATGACAATACTATATTCTATCATAAAGAATACATTTTTAAACAATCTTTTTTATATTTTATGTTTCGGCTTGGGTCTAATTGTCCACACTCAACTGACGTTGGCTGTAAATCACCACGGCCCCTTACGTTATGGCAAGCTTCGGGCCCACTTCCTGAAGTCGTGGAGTTCTTACATTACTAGTACGGTACATTTCATTAAAGCGTGTTTTTAAAAAGTTTTTTTTAATATTACTTATTGTTTGAAAATTAATACTGGTAGGAACCTCCTGGTTACACCACCAGCCCACAGGGGATTATTGTGTCCGTCCGTCGTGCATCCAAAAATGGGAGGGGTGGGGCTGGGTGGAGAGGGGAGGGTGGGGAGGGGCTGAGTGGGGAGGGTGGGGCTGGGTTGGGAGGGGCTGGTCACCCCGTGGTGCCCTTATAAAACTCAATGTTTAACCTACTCACGCCGGCTTGTGCCTGCCCTCACAATCGGGAATATTTGCGGAATGCACCACGTGGTGGTGCCGCCGTTGACCCTGGCCATTGACCGAGCAACCCGACGTTTCTACTACCAGCTCCCTCCGCAGGAGAATGTTTTCTCATCTCCAAGTGCTTGGTGGGGCGGTGGCCCCACCGCCCCCTAGTGGACGAATCTCGCCTGCCGGAGCCTCTGTTGCGTTTACGCAACGTGCACCTGCTCCTCTTTAGAGGGCACAACTCGGCTGTTGAGACTCGGAAGAAATCAAAACTGCCCGCGTTTAAGAAATGTACAGGGAGACTTCAATGT